ACCCCCCCCCCCCCCCTTTCAGCATTTTCATTACTACGGTGGAAATCGATCGTCCATTTGGACCCCATCAACTGTTAGAAGATTGAACGGACGTTACGAAAACTGATCTTTTTGGAATAAAGTTCTACTGGTGTGTGGCCAGCTTGACACGGATTTCTGTCAAAGGGTTATTCCGCCAGGAAAAGTTATGCTGAATGTTCCTTTCACTGACTTACACTGACTTGCATGCTATAAGAGCTGGGAAGAGCCAGATTCGTTGCATCTGACGGGGTAAGATCCATTATGTCATTTCAGCTTTTGGGGCCGTCAGGTGGATAAAATAGCCAACCGACACCAACAACTTATGCAGGGAAAGTTCACAAAGAGTTAAAATTGGTTTAAAAGGTTTCCAACAGTTTGGAAGTGCTAACATATGTGAGCACAGTGGTCTTTCCTAAGTGCATGTCCATTGCATTTATTGTTCTTTGCCATGCGATAATAGGGGACGCGTGCCATTGTGCTACCACATGTTAAAGTACAAGTTTCAGTATTGTAATCTTCCTAAAGAAGAACTGAACCCTGGGAGCTGTGCCCAAAAATTGCAAGTACAGGGCAAAGAACTAGTCACCAGCACTGCACACCTCCCGAAGGAACAGTTTCCAGCACAATGAACTATAGGCAATGGAAACTCATCTGCCATGCTCACACCATGAAGAATTTATATGCCAAAAAATAGGGATGCACCGATACTGGTATTCCGGTATCGAGTACGAGTACCGATATTTTTTTTCCCGGTACTCCCCGATACCGAATACCGATACCGGAAGTCCCATTAAGGAAGCCAGGCGGCGTGTAATGACTCGAAATCTGGCTTCCTGATTAGCCGGGAAGCTGGGCGGCGTGTAAAGACTCGCCACCCAGTGACGAGTAAGCATGGAACCGGCTTTCTGGGTGAGTGAATAGCTGAATGCCGCCGAGCTCGGTTATTCTGCTCGCTACCTTGGAGGACATGTGGGACCCCCAGGGGCCTGGAGGAGACATTTGAGGATTACAGTACGCATTTTAAGTAGTATATAAAGCCAAAACATTATTTTGTTTTGCATGTAGTAGGAAAGGGTTACAACCCTCTTCTGTTTGCTGTGTTTGTCCCCATTTCAAGGATTTCTGTGGACAAAAAAGTGAAAGAAACTATAAAATGTTAGAGCTGTTACCAGAGCTGCGGGTCAGGGGAACTCTTTCATTGTGGGCACCTGTTCTAGTGACCGCTGTCTGAGGGGAAATTTCCCTTCACTTTGGGTAGATTTACACTTGCTTCCTGTTGTGTTTTTGAGACAAGAAGTAGGGAATTATCTCCAATGGAACACAGATAAGAAAGTAAATGTTGACGGGGGTTCTTCTAACCCATCAGTACCTAATCCTAAGCATAATCCTAAACAAAAGACATTAACATATTAACTCTAAGAGAACTCATGGCATATTGAAAAAGAATAATCAGACTTTAGAAATGACTGATGAGTTCTTAAATCCTAGCACTTCCAAACTGCAGTTTTTACTTAAAGAGGGGTGAACATTCCCAGTGATGCGGCCTCCAGCCTGATAAGGAGAAGGTAACACTGATCTGTGGGTGTCTGGACCTATCTTTTTTTTTTTCAAATTCTTTATTGACTGAAAGAGCGTCAAATATAAAAAAAGACATTGTAGGTGAACACAAAGCAGGGGTATAAATAGGGTTGCCACCTTTTCTTCAAGCGAAACCCGAACACTCTAGAGACGCGCAGGCAATTTTGGGGGAAAATTAGTCGTGGCTTATTCATATCTAAATAGCGCCACCCATTCATATGCAAATATTACAGGTGAGACTATTTTCAGTGGGGGGCCAGTAGCCCCTATCTTAATTATGGTTGCCCCTGTCTGCCTGACATCTTGTGTCCAGATTTCTGCTGCCATGAAACCCGAACAGAGCATTCAAAACCCGAACTGTCCGGGTGAATCCTGGACAGGTGGCAACCCTAGGTATAAAGTCTACAGAACACGTAGTCGAACGGACTACACCGTATCACATTTGCATATCCTGACCTATAAAGTCACATCTGGATAATCATAAAACAGCTCAGTACAGTATTTGATTCATCAATCGTTTGACTCAATAGTACCATTCTGTACAGTAAAGCTCTGCGACTGAGTACAATTCTCGAGAAATGCTGTGTCTCATGGGTCCGGACCTATCTTGAGGTTGTTGGACATTCACCCTTTATGTTATGTATAGGAACACCTTGACAATGGGGAGGTGTGTTTCCACATCGGCAACTTTGGGGCTCCTCGTTCTTTGTGCCAGTGGCTTGCCTGCTGCTCTGGGTATACAGGTGAAACTCGAATAATTAGAATATCGTGCAAAGTTCATTTATTTCACTAATGCAACTTAAAAGGTGAAACTAATATATGAGACTCATTACATGCAAAGCAAGATAATTCAAGCCGTGATTTGTCATCATTGTGATGATTATGGCTTACAGCTCATGAAAACCCCAAGAACCCCAAATCCACAACCTCAAAAAATGAGAATATTACATGCAATCAATAAAACAAGGATTGTACATAGAACAATATCGGACCTCTGAAAAGTACCAGCATGCATATGTACTCAGTACTTGGTTTGGGCCCCTTTTGCAGCACTTACTGCAATTACTTTTGCACGATATTCTAATTACTCGAGTTTCACCTGTATTTATCTCTGTACTCAATACCAATTTGTTGTTTGATTGCATGTCCCCAGTATGACCCGAGCTAAAATGTATTATTGAATATTGGCAACCCTTTTGGTCACCTGTTTCACAGTCTACTTTTGCCAGTTCCAGTTGGCCTTTTTTTTTTAATGTCTTTTGCTAACTAGTTGACTTCATTGCACCCTGGTGATGGGATTATGTCAATGAGATATTTTCGCAATGTGCACACCTCCCGTCATATTCTTTGACAATCAGCATCTGCCTCGACACATCTCAGGACGCCACGGCGATTGGATTAAGGTGACTCGAGTTGCCCATGTGGGTATTAAACACTCATACAAACTGAGGGAATTTCATTTTGGATGCACCCTGCTTATAGACCAGCCAAGGTTACCAGGTTGTGGTCTGGGATCAAGCTCGGGCAACCAATACAAGCCACTCAGGTGGGCAGTGAAACATCTTCAATATTGCAAAACAGTTGTATTTGAATGTGACCAACTACTGCTGTCTATATAATTGACATTGTTGTATTTAATTGTAACAATACACTTTAAAGTGTATATTTGACCAAAATGTAAACGCCCCTGTGAGTTTTTTGCTGCCTGTTTCCCATTGAGGATTTTTCCCTTTACTGGAGATACAACAGGAAGTGAGAGGAAATCTCTACAAAGTGAGTGGAATTCCCCTCTTAGACGGCTGTTACCAAAACAGGAAGATTCGCCATCACCTCTTGTTCTGCTTACAACATTTATGTTTCGGATTTCCCATCACTTTCATTCTCGATGACAGTGGTCACTGGGACAAATAGAAATGCTGAACTTCCCGAGCAGGGACAAGGACCACCACACACTGTCCAAAATGTAAAAATAATCTTCTGGCTACAGATTAGGGCTGCAATAATAATTATTTTCATTAGCGATTAGTTGGCCGATTATTTTTTCGATTAATCGGATAACATATTTTTTGTTATATCTTTTATTTAAAATACACAAAAGGAGTGTTACAAACATAAAGTTTTCTTCAGAATAAAACTGCATGCAGTTCTCCTTCCAGTCCACTCCTCTGCTGATTGACAGCAGCAGTGGGTGGGTGCCATAGCCAGCCTATTATTGGCTATTGCAATTTGAAATAACCAATAGCAGGCTGGCTATTGCACGTAATGTAGAGTCACAGCAGCATTGGCTGACAGCCGGTCTCTCCTGCCCACTGGGTGCCGTCTGCATCGGTCTGTGTCCCCTCCAATCCCCACTGCCTCTTCCGTTACAGTTATGGGAGAGCAGTGGGGATCGGAGGGGACACAAACCACAGAATGCAGCTGGCTCCCAGCAGGGAAGAGAGAGCTGGAGAGTGGCGGCGACGAGGAGGGGGGATATGTGGGAGCTCTCCTTACCGCTGGGGACCGGCTGCAGGGATCTGTGTCCCCACCATTCCCCCTGGGATCATCGGCGGGCCTACGAAACACCGGCTCCCAGAGAACTAAGGGAAAAACACCAACTAATCGATAATGAGAATTGTTGACAACTATTCTCATTATCGATTAGTTGGTTGCAGCTCTACTATAGATACACTTTAACTTATTTGAACGTACTCATTGTGTGGTGTGCACGTTCCAGACATATGGAATAATGTACAGCAGAGGGACGAAAACTTTGAGTCTGGGGATAAAACATTGTCCTGCACCAGCTCATCTAGGAATGACTGACCTTTGAGCGTGTGCATGCCCTTTGAAGCCTGGTGAAGAGGCATTGGGACCATCATTGCCCGTGGTGGGCTCTGCCTCCTCCCAAATGTCACCCCATCATGGTAATGGAGAAACACGCAGAATATTTTATGAGAAACTTGTTGGTAATGCGACATTAGATGAGATTATTGTCCCATTATGTCCCCAGACTGGTGTAAGAGTGTACCGCCGCCCGGGGTCAGGTGACCGAGTGGAAAATCACGCAGCTATTCCCTTGTGTCCCCTGTAAAATATATTACTGAGTCTTTTAGTGGAAATATAAATTGCTTGGTGGAAAATCTATACAGACACGTCTGTATAGATCTATCTATACAGACACGTCTGCTTCTCCTGCTGGGCCTGTCATCTCTTCATCAGGAACTGGAACCCATGGAGGAGCTCAGAACATGTCAGGAAGGTCTAGTCAATCAGCTTCCTGTTCTGCTTTGTCCATCTCTGCTGGAGAGCTATGACGGAGGAGACGGCTGGCAGCCAGAGACCCGTGCTGTGTCTCAGTGGGAGAGCTCCGGTCACTTCTGCTGGGATTTCATAGACTAATCCAGCTGTATATATAACGTCAGCCTGTTTTGCTGGCTCTGTGCTCTCGGCCTTTTACGTCCTGTTCTACTGGGTCTGGGCTCCCGACTTGTTCTGCTGGGTCTGGGCTGGTGGCCTATTCTGTCTTGTTCAGCTGAATCTATGCTCTCAGCCTGCCCTGTCTTGTTCTGCTGAGTCTTGGCTCCTAACCTGTCCTGCTGGGACTAAATGTGTGGCATATTCTCTTCTGCTAGATGCGGGGCTCTCTGGCTGTTGTGTTCTTTTGCTAGGTGTCAGCTCTGGGCTTGTTTTGCTGGGACTG